AAGGTGTAACATCACTTTGAACAGTGTACATTTAAGAGATGAGGAGTGAAAATGAATCATTGTTTGGTTTCCATGTAGCTATGTCCAGACATTTTATATTTTTCAAGAAATCTCTAAACTTAGCAAAATATTTCAGCAAAATCACACTACCACAATTTTATCATTTTCATATATCTGACAGTTTTCGAGACAGCAATGTTATTCTTAATTTGAAATACTTTGTAAGTTTCTAATAGGTATAAAAAAAATCTTGGATTTGAAAAATTTACAACCAGATTTGTTCTGTTATTACTTTCTACTTATTTTCATAAAGAATATATTTGCTGAGATTGAAACATTAGGAAACTGGTATTTATTATGCACAAATTTGACGAATGAATCAGAATGTTTTGAATAGATCTGAAATTTTGGTTTCTCTTTTATATACCTATTTGGTACCTAGTTCGAATATTAGAAAATAACAACTTTGTATGTAGAAATGTAAATATTAAATTCAAGAATTTAATTACATATTAGCTTAAAGTACTATGTTTTAATAGACGTTATATATAGTTTTTTCTTTTAGTGAAACAATAAACTCTTCTTATGAAGGGTTAAGTTTATGTCGTATATGTTATAATCCTAATTTGTCTTATTTAAAGATGTATTTTAAACAACTGTAGATATTTATTTCAAATTATATGTCGTATAAATAAGTTTTGTTTAAAATAATAATTGTATAATAAATATTCAGTTATAATAAAGTTCATAATGTGTCCCACAAAATATGTATAAACAATTCCTTCTTTTTGAACAAATGGAGAAAACATACATTCACAGATTTAAAGATAGAAACATCAACTTTATGTAAGATTAATGAGTGATAATCTTTTTTTCAGTGTACCAAGTTATGATGATTTTTTTTTACAAGTTGTCAGTGATTTAAGCTTTGTGATATTTTAAGCTTGCTATATTAAATTTTGTAAACAAGCTAATTGAAAAGACCGATTCATTACTAACATTTTATTTTAATCTCATAATAGCCACCAACGAACAATTTCGAACTTGTGACTTGTAGTGTGAGTTATTACTAGAAGTGAAATTTTCAATATATTCTAAAAAATGAAATCTATTGAATGAATGAATATTCATTATACTTGTGGTTGGATCATCTTCAACAAATTCCAATATCCCTTCATCATGCTGAACAGTTCGAACCAGAGCTTTAAAACTTCCAGTTTCCCCTGCTAAACAGACGTGAAAACAATTTTCGGTTGGGCTGTCTACGATATCGGCATATCTTCTTACAACATGCATCTTTCACAAATTTTCAAGTTCTTAACCTACATATTTTCAGAATCGCAAAAAACTAATTAAAATTTTAACTCAACACCCTGTATTTACGAAACTGTCAACTTTCAGATAAGGCATGTTTAAGCCACTGGTTACTTTCATTTCATGTGTAGTATCTTCAGCTTTCGAATTTCCCATTGTTAATGAATCACCCTGTAGTTGTACTACAGAATTTCTCCACTATGGGTTTTCATACCTGTCTTGCATGTCTGAATTAGAATTGTTTTTAAGGCCATTTTACCTGTTTCATGTGAATCGTTACACATTTGCAATTTGAGACAGAATAAACAAGAGCTTTACCTCCTGAAGGAATATCTAAATTATCCGAGATAAGAGTAAAATTACCAAATTTCTACTGTATTGCTCAGTCGTTTTTGAATTTGTTGTAAGAAATATCTTAGATATATATTACCAACATTTTTATCTTTTGTATTTGAAAACTGAAAACAAAAGTGGACAAACTAATCTCTGTGTCAATACCATAGCCAATATGTTCAGACAGTAACAGCTTTTCATCTAGCTAGAAACAGCTCTTGAAAATTAGGGTTAGAGGCATTTTGTGCTTTGAAGTGATTGATGTTTTTTATAAGTAGTTCAAAGGTATACATGAAGATATACTTTACCATGTAGTATAACAACCCCGGGTTCGATAAAAAAATATATAAACGTAGTGACCAAAAATATGTGATCGTCATGAGGAATACCTACGTTGTATACATCTATTTTTTATTGACCGGAAGGCGCTGGCTACTAACTTTAAAGAGGGGAAGTATGGTTTAATTTTCTAAAACAAAAGCAGAGTAAATACACCTAACTTTATTATTTACGTACAACAGTCTTCAAATTAAACGTGACAATTAGAAAGGACAACAAAAACATTAACAACCATTTAATATAAAATGAGAGTGCCAGGCTAAAGCTCCTGTGGGGAAAGAGCATGGCAGAGAAACCCACGATTGTTGCTCTAATTACCCAAAAATAAATCTAAAAGAACCGCTAACAAAAGGCATAAATTAAGATCCTTTGCTAATGATAAATAACACCCGACTTATTTAAAGTCTCACTAAATATCACCTCACTCGAATTAGGCATACACACTTCCAAGTAAAACTGAAAACGTTTGGTGTTAGTTAGCCGGCAGGGCCGGAAGGTACTGGAGTTCCATATGGGAGGCAATCCAGCTATGAGTTGAGATTTCGGAAGATCTGTTTTAGCAATTCTTTTTTTGTATTTAATTATTCTTTTCACAGATTCATTCCTCACGGGCGAAAATGTTAGTAAATTCAACAAGGCTCTTATATGCGTATGACATAAAGTGAGCACAAGAAATGCTTTATTATTTGTTTTTCGAACAACGTAATCATGATAAAACAAGTTAAATGTGAAACAAAGGAGTTGTTATTGCAATACCTGGGCAGTCACGACAATATATACATATTTTAACATGTAATAAATAATGGGCAATCGTTAATAATAATTGTAACAATTTTACCTTAGCAAAATATATGCCCTTGAACATAAAGCAATGGAAGCTAAACGTACAGAGAAGAATTGTTATCATTAAACATCTATAATCACCACAATCATAAGATTACATAGAACAATTAACAATAAAGTACTTAGAGAATATTAGCTGCTAATTAATACGAGTTAAACACTTTGCTTTTTCACAATTTTGTCACACTGCCCGCTGATCATCTTACTCCCCATCTCCACACTGTTCTCACTTCAACTATTTAGGCTTCCTTTCATAATTCCCCACCTAAGCGTTTGTTTTTGCGCTTCCTTCTACCAACTGTCAATATTACGTTTTCATTATTATACAGCATCCATGTAACAGGTGACGTCAAAGTTGATACGATAAGTATGGTTTTGCACAGACGCCCCTTTGGAAGATAGTGATGAGACGAACATGGCTCAGAAATATTTCTCAACACACAAAGACGGACTTTCCTTTCATTTGAATTAATGTCACAGAAAGTGTAAACATTTGGAAATGGTTTGTCTGGTATGTACCTTATAAGGACTAGAATATAACGGGTCGAATTTATAAATAATTGTTCTTTGAAGCATCAGAAACAGGAACTTCCTGTAGGAGTTCTAAATCTCCGACCAATACCGTTTCAAATGAAACATGCTTCTTTGACAAACGTCGTTCTGCATAGACTCCACACTTCTAGGCATGACTTTGACCAAACCAAATCTCAACAGGAGCAATAAGAGGCAGTCAGTAGACGCATCCGTTACCTCAGCAATGGTAGCTAAACATACAGAGAAGAATTGTTATTATTAAACATCTATAATCATCACAATCATAAGATTACATAGAACAATTAACAACAAAGTACTTAGAGAATATTACCTGCTATTTTGATTTTTCACTATTTTGCCTCACTGCCCGCCGATCGTCTTGCTTCCCCCTCCACACTGTTCTCACTTCAACTATTTGGGCTTCCTTCCAGAATTCCCCACCTAAGCGTTTGTTTTTGCGCTTCCTTCTACCAACTGTCAATATTACGTTTTCATTATTGTATAACACCCACGTAACAGATGCCGTTGAAGTTGATACGATAAGTATGGTTTTGCACAACCCATAGTCTCAAATCGCTGCGCAGTATTAGTTATTAACAATAAAAACTGTAATTTTAATGAAAAATCACGTTTTTTGCTTGTAATCTTGTTCCTTTTGGTCATAGACAAAAATGGTAAAATACTTTTTTTTTTCGTCTAAAAAACCTACAAAACTAGACATAGCACGTCAAAAAATATTAATTAGTTCACAAGTTATGGACCAAAGACCATTATTTATGCAAATGTTAAATAAACAATTTCACTATATGCTCTTTTTGTCAAAACGTCTTCAGATTGTAGTAATTCATTGACAAATAAGGTGTGCGAAACCTGGGCTCTATCAGTTGAATAGTTTGTAAGTTATGGCCTTATAAACAAATGAATTAACAGTCGGTCTACAGGACACGGGGCGCTACTTATAGTGCTGATTTTTTTATAGGTAGATTTCAACATATTTTATCATAATTCATTATTATTTTTCACTGAAACGTAATTTTGCAACCAGAATTTTTTTAAAAATCCTCTTGCAAAATTAATTATGCTGTGTGCGTGACATGACTACTTTTGCCACATATTATTATATGTTTGGAAAGAGCATGGACCTTTTATTTAAAAAAAAAAAAGTCAAGATTTGTCAATAAACAATGGAGTTATAGGCGCGTTTGCCTACCCACGAAAAATCTGGTCGCGAACCTTCAAACTTGACAGCGCATCTGTAATCGTACTTTTGTCGGGAACTACTTCAACTTTAGTGGAGCATACTGTGAAATTATTTAGTTAATATTTGCATAAATAATAGTTTTTGATCCACAACATGTGACCTAATTAATATTTTTTGACGTGCAACGTCTAGTTTTGTAGGTTTCTTAGACGAAAAAACAAAAAAAAAGTATTACCATTTTTCTGTACAACCAAAAGGAACAAAGATACAAGCAAAAAACACGATTTTTCATTAAAATGACAGTTTTTATTGTTAATATAATATGTAATGTTATGGTGTCCTGCTTTTTATAATGACCTTCACATATTAATAATTTTTGGCTCATTCCTATTTTATAACCTATGTAATGAAAAAATTAATGCTTATTTTCTTATTATGTAGATAATGAATAGTTTATTATTTATAATTGTTTCGAATTTCTACTTGGCTGATAACTTAAATATAATCCGGCCTAACCAATCTACCTAATTAATAACCCGACAGTCCTTTGGAGAAATACATTTAAATGAACCTTAATTTGCAACTTTCTGTCACAAAAGAACTTTTATTAAAAGCGAGGAATGGTGATCTAAATTTAATTTCTGTAAATTGCACAAACTATTATAATACATCAACTGGTGCTCTTCTTTCATTTTTTAATATAGATTTATGTCTTTTCTGCATTAAACGCTCCTTTGCTGCCTTTTCCATTCTTCTTCTGATTATTTCCTCAGTCTCGGGAGAAGGTTCTGGTTTCTTAATTACAGATTCATATATGGTATTTCTAATCTTCTCCAAACAATCAGCCAAATTTAATTGCTGTGACCTCGTAAGATCTGATTTGTATATTAAATAGCCTTCTTTAGTTATTTTCGACTTTAACTGAAATTAAATGTAAGGATTTACATTTCGAAATATCAATGAATCTAAACACATAAAACACTTAATAAACAAATTTACATTTACAAATATTGTGATATTGAACTCACACATGATTAGTTATTTTTATTAGAAAAATTGCATGCTTTCCCACATTGTATGCATTCCCTCATACTTTCACTGTACATACAGATTAGTGGATCCCAGTAGGTACATATAAAGCAATAATTTGTGCCAGTAGGCATTGAGTATCTTTTATAATTAAAACGTGATCCAGAAATGTTCTGTTTAGGTTCAGTGATGCATGGTAACAATAAATGCCATAATACTGCAGCCCAATTTGGTTTTGTCAAAATGTAATGTAATAGTTTCTACATTTCAGGCGATATGATGTTTATTTACTTTAGCATTTCAAAATTTAGTCATAGAATTTATCATAAGATATGCCATAATATATTGAGTTCATAATAACTTTGTTCCTAGAGCAATCCAAAACAGTTTTCAACAGTCACATGCAAGTGTACTCCGATATCATTCTTATCCTTACATAATGTTCAAAATTCATTGTTTCAAATAAAATGCCATTGCGTCCGGTGCTGTTGGAAACTATTTGTAAGACATTACAAACCAAGCTAATAACTTACTTTTTCAAACAGTTTATTTTTAAGTTCATCATTGAGCCATTTAGCTGATTGTAGATGAAATCTTACATCAACTTTTGTATTAACTTTGTTCACATTTTGTCCTCCTGGACCAGAACTCCTGCTATACGTAATATTAAGTTCATCTATGGGAATATAACCAGAGAACTTCTCATGCCTTTTACAAACAGGCTTAAAAAAAGGGCATTATCAAAAGAAACAATAAAGAATTATTATTATTATTACCACATTTGGAGTCGTCAGTTCTAAGCTGCTAGAAGGATACAAATTATCTAATGACAGAACACTTTTAAAAGCAACAGATCTTTTTAATATACCTTTAGAGATATTCCTTGTAATAAGTAATTTTAAACCTCCACTGAATACATTCATTATTTTTTGATATATTTAAATATTAACGTGCTCTTCTATTCACAAAAAAGTATACACTAATATAATAATAATATGCAAGAAAGTGAGGGTAAAATAAATTGTATTATAAATTATTAATATTTTAGGTTATTTTCTTCTTCTTCCTTTATACCATGGAGACTACACAAGGAGCTCGAACTCCATGTAAACAAAAATCTTACAAAAATATGAGGGCGCTAGTGTTCTATATGTCCCATATGTAGAAAGGGGAGATAAAAAGCGGCAGTTTGAATGGTTTGAATTATTATAA